GTCCACAAATAAAAGGACGTCAGTACGAATAAAGTACTGAGTATGTAAGGCAGGGAACCATAAATACAAACAGTAATATAAGCAGGGATAGAGAATATATAACCTGGAAAATCTGAGTACCTCTGAGGGCTACTGACATGCAATGCATGATACATATGTATGTATACATAAACTTTTAAAACATACGCCTCTGTGGGCATCATCATCATCATTTCGTACCCGACCATAATAGGCTCGGTAAAAACGTACCCGGCCATCATAAGGCTCGGTAGAATCGTACCCGGCCANGGAAGTACCAACAACATTGATAACATAAGAATAAGAGAAGCAACATTAACATCAATCGTTGCATAAGAGGCAAAGAAATGTAAGTACTGCTAGCTTCTAAGAGTAGAGTATCTTTGGAAACTCGTTCATTACATTATGTACATTTGGTGTCGTGCAAAAGAAGAAAAGGGATAGCCTCACATACCTTGTATATACTGCCCCAATCACAAGCTATGCAATTGTCACAACTCCTTAGTCTACAATAAGAGAAACGATACTATCATTATCATTTAAGCGTCATAACTATTACGTATCGACCACAACCTATTTTACGTTGAAACGGACAGCACCTCCCCTATATATATGACTTCACACCATTCAAAACAATCCCCAAACAGCCCAAAGAACATCAATAATAGACATATTGAGCCTCCCAAAATAGTCCACGCACAACCTAATTACATCATACATACGACGACCACCATAGTCGTGTCAAACGACCCGGAAATGTTATGAATAACTATCAGCCCACAACTCTACATATATATGGTGTTTCTCCACACCCTTGCANAGTTCATAACCCCTTAAAAGTCCTCTTTTGGCCGACTTAGGTCTTTTAATTTTGTCCTATCATTTTGGCAAGTAGGTGATGCACCTACTTGTCATCTACCAATAAGGTTGCTCGGTGGGCCGGGCCTGAACCGGACCGGACCGGGCCCGCGGTCCTAACGGGCCTGGTGGG